CCAGTTAGTGAACTACAAGGCCTTAGGACAAAACTCCTTTCTCCAGTAACATGCTATTGCTATCTTTATGACTCTATCATTTTCATAGTTTTAAAAAATGTAATGTGAAGTTACAACCTGAGGCTCTAAAGTAATGAAGATGGTAAATGAATAAATAAAATATGCTCCACACCCATCTCAGACACCTCTTCAAAAGGAAGAAATGGAAATGGAACTTTAGCAATCTAACTTCAGACCGAAAAAGCCAAACTTCAGTAATATAAAAAATAATTGACCAACTTAAAATAAATATGTATGGATATCTGAACTGAATTAATCAAAGGGCAAAATCTGGGCATCTCTGGCCTATGAAAATGATTCAGAATGTCATAAGTGAAGAAGTTAGAGATAAAATGAAAATATAAAGCCGTGTCAGCCAGAAAAACAGTTCTATAGGAAAGACTTTCTCAGATATTTTCTTCTTCAAGCATTCATCGAACATTTTTTTTTCCTTGAGAGAGAGGGAGAAAGGAGAGAACATGTGCACTGTACGAAAGGGGCAGGAGAGAGAGAGGGAATCTCAAGCAGGCACCATGCTCAGCACAGAGCCTGACATGGGGCTCAATTCCACAACCCTGGGATCATGACCTGAACTGAAACCAAGAGTCGGATGCTCAACCAACTGAGCCACCCAGGTGCCCCACAACAATAAATGTCTTATCTAATATGATTAACCTATAAGAATTACTATTCCTCAAAGCCAACACTAAGCAACACCCCAATATATTTCAGAGGATCCTGTATACCCTCTCATTCTTTTAACTACCATTTTGAATTACATTTTAAAAATTTCAAAGAAGGTATTATAGATTGTGATTTTCTCAAATTACTTCACTTATATATTACATTATATTTCACTTTGATTTTTAAAATCCTGTGATTATCTACATGCCATTGGAGATAATTTTATAGTCATAAAAATCATGAACCCAGCTATCTTTCTACAATCAAGAATGCTGGTTCTGGTTAGAACAAGGAAGTGAGTTGATTTCCCACATCATAGAGTGCCAAAAACAAAACAAAACAAAGCTGAAACAACTTTTAGCAAAGGCATTCCTTTAAACACTTGTAGATTGGAAATGTACATATATGGAACTTTTGGGCTTTAAAATCTTAAGAAAACTCAGCTTTAAAATCTTAAGAAAACTCCCCTAGCTTTGTCTTCTACACAATGCAGGACTTCTTTGCATAATAACAGAGGCTAGGTTACATGCTGGTGGCCTGAGGACCTTTTGCAGCCCATAGGTATAGTCTGTGTAACCTGCACAATTTTTATTTTGTTTTGTTTTGTTTTGTTTTGTTTTAAGTAAACCAATGCAAAAAAATCTAGATCTTTGCCTTGTCTTGAAAATCCACCTGGAGCTGTATGTCTGCTGCCCTTTTGGATGAGTCATGCCATCTTCACTTCTCCATGGTCCCACCACTTCCCATTCACCCATGTCACTCATTCATCATGTGCCTGGTGCTTTAAGCATCTGAATATTTGGGTCAATGACCACTCACTGTTCCAGACAGAGAGTTATCCACTCTGTTGCTGAACATCTCCACGAAACGGGACAAAGCATACAACCCTGCAAGTTGACCGATTTCACTGCAGGCAACATTAAACATTAGAGAGAATTGTCTAGAATGATTTGCAAACATGAGCTAGTTCTATCCTCAAAAGCAGAGTAAATTTACTGTCTCTTCCATGGAAAAGGCTTCTAGGTATCTGAAGACAACAAACTTTCCTAGGTCTTCATTTGCCGTTTAATGTCTCATAGCAATGTTTGTAAGCTCACCTATGGCCCTTGAGATGCTTCTCTGCATGGATGAATTCTATTTATGATTTATTTTTTAACTCTTACTGTGTATTCGTTTATTATATATTTTAGTTATCAGTGTTCTTCACATGAAATAATGTAATAGTTCCTTGATCTAGATCAATGGTTCTCAAACTTTCTGGTCTCAGGATCCCTTTACATGTTTAAAATTCATTAGAGATCCCAATGAGCTTTTAAGAAAGTTATACCTAGGGGTGCCTGGGTGGTTTAGTCGGTTAAGCGTCCGACTTTCGCCTAGGTCATGATCTCGCGGTTCGTGGGTTCAAGACCCACGTCGGGCTCTGTGCTGACTGCCAGCTCAGAGCCCAGAGCCTGTTTCAGTCTGTGACTCCCTCTCTCTCTGACCCTCCCCTGCTCAAGTTGTCTCTCTCTCTCTCTTACAGAAATAATAAATTAAAAAAAAAAGTTATATCTAAAAAAAAAAGTTATATCTATTGGCATTCACTGTGTTAGCAATTAACACTAAAATTTTTAAAAATACATGTATTAATTCATTTAAAATACATGTTATTATAGTGGCATATTTCTATGAAAAATAAACACATTTTCCAAAACAATACTGTCTCTCCCCTTTCATCTAAACACAGAACTTGCATATACATATTTATTGTATATCCCATTTTGTTGGTTCCTGGTTACTCTTTGGTAGTGGACACTTGATCCCTTAAGGCCAGTGCACCCTGCCCCACTTAGTGTTTGGATTGTTGGCTGATAACACACAGTAGATTTATTCAGTAACACTGAAGCCACCCTGCTTGGGAAGCTATGTCTACCTCCACTTCGTCCAATGACTGACCGACAAGCCAGTGATTGTCACAGAGTACAAAAAGACTCATCCCAATGACACAAAGCAGAACCAATTCTGGGGGTAGTTTGTGCTCCAGAGCTTCCCATGGGATTGGACCCAAGTTAGTTTCTAGTTGAGACCACATTATTCCTTAGCTTTTTATCCCTTGTCCTATCATGCTTCTGTCACTCACTCCCTTCTAAAAGCTTATCCCTAACAAATGGGTGAATAGGCACTTCCATCTCAAGCTCTGCTTCTGGCAAACCCAACCTAAGACATCTTTCATCTCACCAAGATTACTGCAATATCAACTCCTGTCATACATCAGATCAACTAGCCATCTCAGCTGCGCAGCGTCTCAAATATGCTAAGCATTCTATCATAGAGCAGTGCAGCGGTTCTCAAAATGTGATCCCTGAACCAGCAGCAGTAGCAGCATTTGGGAACTTGTTAGAACTGCAAACTCTCGGGCCCGTTCCAGGCCTAGTGAATCAAACATGCCATCACAGATATGTGCCATAATTAACGAATCCATTACTGCTCTGTATTTCAGCATTTTTCCTTCTTTCCTAGTATAAATAATAGTGAAACGAATGTACTTGCAGTTAAATCTCTGTGTACATTTCTAATTATTCTACGAATATTTGTCTTCAGTTTAGTTTGAGGTAGAAGCATTAAATTAAAAAAAAAAAAAAAAAAAAGTACTGATAGATGACCAGAGGGACAAGCATGTAATAAAGCAGGCACAACAAATAATGGAAGAATCTAGGTGAGGAGAATATGGATGTTGACTGCAAAATTCTTAACAACCTTTTCATGTTTCAAATTTGTTAGAAAATGTTGAAAAGATTTATATTTTATGAGGTTAACTCCTAGAATTGGAATAGATTTTTTGTAGTATGTGCCCATCTTTAAACTCTGTGAAGTTAAAACATCAACCAGAAAGTGTCAGTTCCCTCACACTGTCAACGCTGCTTTTTAGTTCTTTTCAAATCTCTGCCAACTGGTTAGGCATAAACTGGTAATTCATCTTTTAAATCACCATTTCTGTGTGCATTTTTTAAGTTAATATATAATGAATTGAAAAGCTTCCTAACATGCTTGGCTTCAGATGTGATGTTGGTTATTTGAACTACGAAGCAGTAATCAGGATTTGAGCACACACCCAGGGCACACAGCTTATTACCAAGCATAATACTCTTAAGAATAACTTGCAAACTGAATTATATTGGCAAGAGTTACTTCTAGGCCAGTGTCATACACAGCCAGTGGGGGAAGAGGGTTTGGGGAGCTAATGCTGGATTGCCAAATGGGTCTGATTTAACAGATCCTGGGAAAGGATCTTTCTTCCTTCACAAGAAAAGCGAACTCTCCCATTTTACCAGGGTGCTCAGAATTCCAAGCATTAGTATTTTCTTCCTTTATGTTGAGGCAATTAGATCCCCATCAATTCTATTTTAGAATTCAAGTATTTTACTTCAGAATAGGCTCTACAAAATTATGGTGTACCCAAAGGATGGAATGCAATGAAGCCATTTAAAAAGAACTATGGAATTCTACATTTACTGACATGTGAAGACATCTATGATATATTACTTGTGCATTGCAAAACAAGAAAAGTATGTATGTGTCTGTATGATTGAAAATGTGTGGAAGGATATTTACTAAAATATTAATAGTGGCCACCTCCAGTTAAAGGACATATGGCAGTTTTTGTACTCTTTACATATTTCTTTATTGTTTACTTTTGCCACAGATACATAAAAATTTCTTTATTAACAATAACAATATAAGAAGGCTATTTGCATTTTGATAAAGATAAAATTGAAAGTATCCCAGAAAACCACTAAGCCATTAGCACCTTATTAAAATTTAATTTAGGAAGATTTTTAAGTCAAGGTTAAAGTCCCCTAAGGAATGAGACCCAGATCCAGCATATTTTAAAAGGCATAGAGTTTTAAAGGGAAAAGAATCAAAGGCAAACTAGGCAAAGAGGTCTCCAGCCATGTACTCATCAGCTAAGGGATAGGTCTGAGGCGTCCCGGGAGGATTTCACTGGAGAAAAATCAATAGGCAATGGAAGTCACCCATGATCTTCAGATCCAAGAGAAACCAAAAGGGTGAAGGCACAGAGTCTGTAAGGACTCAGTAGGTCTTAACTCTACCACAATTCCTGCTTTCAATATTATAGACGAAAATACCTCCTCATCAATGATGTTCAATTTTCCCCCTACAGCAGGCCCAGGATCCAATGCCAGTTAATTTTTTCAAATATATATTTAAAATTTAAATTGTTGCCTTTATATTTCAAAAAGACTGAAAAGGAGAAGAAGACATATTAAACCACTTACCTCCATGGGAAGACACGTCTGGACACAGGAAGATGTTCCCGAATGTGACGTCAGAGTCTCAGGTTTAACTTGAAAGTGTGTTTTGTACATGTAGCCGTCAGAGCAGTCCTGTGTTCCATCACCAAAGAATACACAGGAAAATATCAATTATTTTAAGAATTCATCATTTTAAGAACTACAGTTTCCCCTAAGTTTCAAACTGAATAATAAAAAACTAAATATATTAAAAGAAATGAGAAAATATGGATAAAGAAATTCATCCAATAAACCCTAGACAAAGTAGGTACTCATTGAATAGAAGTTTTAATCCTCTACCATTCTCACTTACTAATGATGTTCCCCCTTCTCTTAGATCTCCCTCCTCCTTCTTCTTCCTAAGCAGTCCATAGAACGTAAGTCATAGAGCGAAACTTTAGGTCAGCAGCTTTTAAAAAGTATTTAAACTTAAAGAAATATTTCATCACATATTAACATTCTTTTCATGGCCTATATCAAAAGAGAAATTTAAGGAGGACTGCAACAGATCTTGAAGCTGGTAGGGGCCTTCCATTCTGACTTCTTGTTCAAGGCAATATCTCCATTAAACATCACAGCAAAGTAAGTATGCAGCACTTGCCTGAGCATTTCCAGGAAGCCGTGCTTTACTCCTTTACACAACCACCGCCTCCATTTTCATACATAATACATTGTTCACTGAGAAAGTATTATACTGCATTGAAATGTTTGTCTTTAATCTTTACTCATTGGTTTTAGCTCGGCTCTCCAGAGTCTAAAGTCTCTTCCACAAAGCCATTCATTCTTTAAAACCTTGAAGACAACTACCACCATTTTCAAATGTTCCATGGGGAAGATGGGATTTCCAAGCCCTTTATCAGTTTGTACTGTTCACATCTTTCTTATACTTGCTCTTAAATATACTAATGGATAATGTTTATCTAATTGTGGTCAGTTCCATTGTTTTAAGCAGAATTTGGCTGAATGCAATAAGGTCCTATATAAAAATGTAATACCTCCTCATCTATAAATTTACCTACATATCAATGAATATTATTAATTCTCCACCAAACTGTCATACTAACACTCACATTTTAACAGAATTTAAAGTTACAATTAAGGAAGATGTGATTACTGAATCTGACGCAGTAGTTAAAATACAGAATAGCATTCCAACTAAAACCATTCATAATTCACTTAAATGCTTTCACTAAGATTCAAAAATCCAGTTTTTATCTATAAGAAAAGAAAATTTTATACTGCCTTTTAATACTGCATTTTTAAAAATTTTGTCATGCCAACTATGTAAGAGCACTGGATTTGAGGTAACTGCACTAATTAGAATAATGCCCTTTCTCAATTCATGTCCACCTGGAACTGTGAATGTGCCTTTATGTGGGAAACAGGGTCTATGCAAAAGTTAAGAGGGGGTCATACTGGAACAGAGTAGACCCTGAATCCAATGTGACTGGTGTCCTTACAAGAGGGAAATTTGGCTAGAGACACAGATACAAAGTGGAGAAGGCCACAGAAAAGCAGACACACAGACTGAAGTGGTGCATCCACAAGCCAAAGAATGCCAGCAGTTGCCACCAATCACCAGAAGGTAGAAGACACTAGGAAAGATTTTTAAAAGGGAGTGTTGCCCAGCAGACATGTTGTTTTTTAACTCCCAACCTCCAGAACTGTAAGAGAATATATTTGTTTTAAACCATTCAGCTCATAGTACTTTCTTATGGTAGCCCTAGGAAACTACTACAAGAATTATATTTTCTGAAAATTCTAGTGGTACCTTTACAATGCCTCCCAGTTGCCTGGGCTGATGCTTTCCCAGCACTTACAAAAGAATGCTTCTGTTTGGTCCTGATCAGCACCAGTTTTAATTGGCTGGACCCAACCTATTCTGATTGGTTGATACCACTGCCACAGGTTGTCAAATATTTTGAATATTATTCCTCCCTGTAAAATAAGCTATTACGTATCCACTACTATCACCTTTTATTATTTCATTTAAGTTATACATTTTGTAGAAGTAATCATTGTTTTAAATTCTAGCTCTGCACCATCTAAACACAAAGCATATACCCTGATTGCCTTCTACCACTGAAATCTCTGTATTTAGGGAACATAAATGACTTTTAATACTGGCTTGAATTGAGAAAGATATATGTAGTGAGTGTAGATATTGTTGCTGTTTTTACATCAGTTATTTATTTCCATATCTTCTGGAAGAGTAGCCAATTTTCTTCTAGTGAAGCATTCCCTACTCCCCTGTCAGTGTGGACATGGCTTCCCAAGTATAAGAATGATCAAATGACTCTGTTCTGGCCAATAAGGGCATCAGTTCTGTGACCTCAGAAAGTCAGAAAGGCAAAATATCTACTCAAGGCCAATGAGAACAATTCAGGACTTCAGTTAGGGGATGTGGGAGGGTATTCTCTTTCCTACAGGATTTCAACCAGGAAGACTGGCAGCCTTGGTAGTATTGATAGCCATCAAGTTATTGAATAGAACCTGAGAATGAAGCCAATGCAGAGGAAAGCAAGACCATGAGATGCAGAAAAATCAGATCCTGATTACACTGTTTACACCAGCCAAACTTAATGCTAGTTCTACCTTCAAATTTTGCAGGTACATGGCTTCAAAAAGTCCCTTCTTGGTTTCATCCAATTTGGATTGGGCTTTCTGTCACTTGCAACTAAAATAATCTTTCTATAAAATGACCTGTATCGTGTTTATTACTTTAAAACTAGATGAGTTTTCCTGCTGCTGAGAATTGGCCTCCTATGAATACAGAAAGAGGCTCTGAAATAATAAAATACTTTGACTTGAATGAATAAATAAACTAGATAAATTTCTACTATATTATATGATCACCCTCATTAGAATAGATAATCAATAGTTTATTATATAAAAGATTTACCAAATACAGTAAAACCACAATGATATGTGTTTGTGAGACAAAAAAAGTACTGGCAGTCTGCAATTGAAAAATAATCTAGCTAAAGAAGAAACAAACAAACAAAAAAAACCTCTTAAGACATTCAGAGAAGAGTTAGAACTAAACTGTGTGTACTGAATCTGATCCATCACATGAAGGTAACTATTCTTTCATGAGGGATGATCCTACAACCTCTTCTTAAAGCACACTCTAATACAAGGCAAAATACATCTCCTTTGACACCAAGAGGTTAACTTAAAAATTCCTATGCACCTGTGTTATAAAATCTAAATGTATCATCTGATCTCTTTTCCAATGAATTAAGATAGAAAGATGTGCCATTTTTAATGTTACTTGTAATTTAAGGGATGTTATTTCTATTGTAGGTACTTTCTGATACTATTTATTGGTGTCTATAAAGAGATACACAGAACTTTTGATGCAGCCTACAAATGGTCATGGTAAATTTCTTTCCAGTATCAATTTCTTAATAGTCAAGATTAGCCTTGAAAAATTAAATATAGAAAAAAAGAATTTATAGAATATTAGCTTCCTTTCAAACATTTACTTCCACAGAATTAGGCCTTCTCCTACACTGTTTTAATTTAAGACAGAAAAACATGTGCCGTTTTTCACTGTTGGAGGTTGCGTTTGTAGAGACAAGCAAATATAAAAGCATGAGGAACTGCCCCCTGAGCTAGTCTACAGTCTGTCCTGCCCAATAAATGATAATTAACTCAAATCCCAACTGACTTTTCTAGTTGACACTCAACTCTAGCTTCCCTGTATACTTTCTATAGTTATGACACCTTACAATTCACTGTTAAGTTTTCTTTAATTTTTTAACATGTGTGAGTTTTGCTTCCCCCAATCAATCCAAAGTTAGGGCTAGGCCCCAGCCCCTGGGGAAAAAATGGTCCTAACTACAGAGTCTGATTGCACATAAAAACCTGGTGCCTGGTCCCCATGGAATCTGAACATACCCTGGACCAGAAAAGCAGAAGGAACAAAGGAAACCTTGCAGTTTATCCAACTCAACCCTCTCATGTTAGAGACCAGAGGGTGAAGTACTGAAGTATTTTTAAGAAACTTGTCTTATAGCTAAATGGGGGAACCGCTGGAAGTGGAAAGCAAGCCACCTGACCCCAGTGCTCTTTATACCACACTAAGCAATTCTGCCAGAGATCAGCATCATGGCAGAAACATGCTTACTGACTGTCGTGGAGTGGTGAAAACTCACACTTTGCACAGTGAGTAACAAGCGAAGCATTCAAGCGTGGTCTGGGAACCAGGAGCCTCCTTGTCACCTGGGAGCTTGTTAGACACACAGAATCTCAAGCTCTGCTCAAGACCCTCTGAATCAGAATCCGTATGTAACAGGATCCCAGGTGATTTGCCTGCACTTTTGGAAGCACTGAGGCAACATGTACAGCAATCCCTGATTCAAACGGAGTGTAGATTGATTACATTAAACAATAGTTCTCAACCTTAGCTGGGGTTCCCCTCAGACCAGTGAAGTCACGACCTTTCTGTAGACTATAATGAAGAGCCAGGATTGAGAATTACATCACTTAATTCATTGAAGTTCCCATTTTGAACTTTAAGACCAGAGTCAACCAAGTAATCCATAGCTGTCTTGGGGGAAATGGCCACAAACAACTCCCAACCTCTAGGAATACCATGGCTCACTTGGAGCTCTCCATATACTGGCCTCTGTGAATACTCATCTTGAGCTGTGACAGTGCTGAGACTGCTTTTTAAGTGGTCTATACTACTACCTGAAAGCTCACTTTTTGGCAACTTGCCTAGCCTTAACCTAGGCCTCTGTAATGGCCATTAATCTCGTAACTTATAACTGTCACTGTCCTATGTCTAACTACACTTCAGCCATCAGAACTCCTAGCTGCCCATCTGCCACAATGTAGGTTACTTCATTCCATCACTGCAGAAGAGAAACTAATAGAAAGTGCCCAGGTGCTGTAAGCCAAACACCAGTGAAAAAGAGAACACTTCCTCCTCACAGTCAAAACTCAAGTTATCTCCATAGAATGCCCTTCACCTTATACTAAAATAAGGAATAAAGACTTATATGAGAAAAACAATGCCATAAATGTGCTAGATAAAAACAATGGAAAATATATGTATATGATTTTATATTTATATGTTTATATAT